GCTCAATGAAACACAAGCACGATTGCCCCACGGCACGTGTGGGGCAAGTGAACCCGGCTGGAGCTATTTATATATATCGAGCTCATGATGTCATTCAACATTCTGTGTGTGTGTGTGTGTGTGTGTGTGTACCTGTAAAATTGAAATGGATGTGACTTTGGCAGAATGCTTCTAAAGAAAGAAATAAAAGGCTGTCTGAAGATGCGTAATACAAGGGAAAATAGCCACTTATTTTGTTTCACTGGAAGGAGGAGACCTTTCCTGGTACAATGAAAAGGACTGTCAAGGTTCTGTTTTTCGCTAGAACTGAGCTGGCGTGTATCAGAAGATAGGTTGCAGAGAAGCTTGGGTGATTTTGAGTTTTGTTGCATCCAGTCTAGGGAAAGAACAGTTTTTGCTTTCCTGAAATTATGGGAAGAAAAGAGCATTGCTACTGTCACTGCTCAGGGTGAGCCCTGGCCTCCAAGATGGGGATCCAGCTGGGGAGGGGTTAAAATCTGATGGATTGGCTTCGCCTGGCCCCCAGATTCTGGCCTGCCAGTCCAGGGCTGGTGCCGATTCGCTCGGATGTGACCCAGGCCAGGACCGCCTCTTCTGCTTTTACAGCAAGCTGCGGTTCGCGCATTTCTGCAAATTGTGCACAGGGTCAGAATCTGCACGAATTTCCCGAGCTTAAAAAAAGAAAGAAAAAGAAATGCAATTTACAACCTGCTTGGAAAGTGGGAGCTGGGCAAGGAGCTAAAGTCCTTACTCTCAGCCTGCGTTTAGGCCTCCAGCGAGCGAGTTGCCGAACTCTGCCAAATCCAGCAGTTTGAAGTGTTCAGTGCCACTGGTCCTGTTTGCGAGACTGGAGAAACTGGTGGAATGGCCCCCCTCCCCCCCTTCTTTGTCCATGGGAGTCTCCACTTCTAAGCGATTGCAACCTCCATCGCCCAAAGAAAGGATTCCACACTTGGAAAGACTGGTTGGAAACGTGTCGGGGTTCTGTGGCGGATTTAGGGGACTGTGCTTATTGGACCGAAGCAGCTGGAGGGAGGTGTGACAAGCACCTGTGTTAAACCCAGCGTGTTCCGGCTTCGGCAGATTTTGTGCTGTACGCGCGGAGCGAGATGCAATTGGCTTCGGCTTTGCTGAACCGCTGGCTGGCTGGCTGGCTGCACGGGCAGGACTCCACCTCCAAAGCTTTGTTCTCTGAGCCTCGGCGGGGTATCGCTTTACAGCTCTCGAGGGTCCGATCGGATTTCCCAGCCAGCCCCTGGAATTCCACCAAATGCAGCAGGGAAAGGGATGGTGTATTTTGGGATTGGTATTCCTGCACATGAATGACCTCATGGGGCAAGATTCCGCCTCCAGCGTGCAAAGCTCAGGTGGAGAGTCATTCTCTTTAAAAAGGCAAGATATGTGCCCTGAGTACTAGCCTAACCAATGCCTGGAAAACCATCGGTAAACTATAAGAAGCATTGGAAGAAATGCCCAGGGGCAGCCAATGTCACAAGAGTAGGGCTTCCATATTCTAAGGCAGTGTACCTCCAGATATACGAGCTGGATCTTGCTAGCCTGGACACACATCACTGGGTTGGTCTGAACTTCAGCAGGGAGTTTGCTAGATTTTGCCGGGCAATTTGTTTAGCCTCCATCCTCCTTCACTGTAGCAAGGGCTGATGGGACATGTAGTCCAACGACATAGGGAGAGACACAAGTTGCTCACCCCATCTTAGACTGTCATAAGCAGAGCCGAACCAAATGTGGTTAATTACACACTCTCATTTCTGAAAAGAGTGGGCTCGGAAACACAAGTTCCTGCCATTTTTAATTGGTTTTAACTTCTGCGATCCCATGTTTAATAGCAACAACTACTGTTTCCATCATGCTTTGTCATGCAGCTAACGGAAACATCTTTCTGCAAAAAAGACAAGGGCTTTGGATCGCCCGATGACAAACCGAAGGAGGAGTTTTAGGGAGGGCGTGGAAGATGCCGTGAAACGGATTTCGCGGGGCTGCTCTCGCCCTGTGCTCCTTCAGCGGCTGCACGTGGACAAGGGAGCCGGAACCCCCAGCGTGGTGCTGTCCATGCACAGCGGACACGAGGGCTGGCGCAGGGAGAAGGGGCTTGTCTCCAGCTGCCCCAGAGGCCAGAGGAGCTTTTGGCGGACTTGCGTTCCTGAAGAAGAGGCTTTGGTTGACCAGCAGGAGAAGCGCCGGAGCAGCCGGCCAGGGAACCAAGTGCCCTGGAAGACAGCTGGGCTCTCTCGGACGGCCATCTCTCTCTGGATCGCTGGTGTTGAGCAGGGGCTGGATAATGACGTCCAGAACGCCATATTTGCCCTCCCGCCCCCCGAGATCGGCGGCTGAGGCCCTCCTCCGGGAGCCCTCCGGGAGAGCCATCAGGAGGCAAAGCACCCGGAGGAGGGCCTTCTCTGCGGTGGCGCCCCACCTGTGGAATGCGCTCCCCAGAGAGGTCCGCCTGGCGCCGTCGTTATTTGTTTTTCAGCACCAGGCCAAGACCTTTTTATTTAAACCGTATTTTAACAATTTTTAATATCACCTATATGTTTTTATTTTGCAGCCAGGGTGAATCTGGATTTTATGTGCACTATTTGCATTGTGTCTGTTTATTGTATGCCAGCCGTCCCGAGGCTCGTGCGAATGGGACGGCATACAAAAATTCTAAATAAATCAATAATAAACCAGCTCTTCCACTCTTGCATCCTGAGTGTCTTAGAGCAGCCCTGCGGCATCCGCTTGGTGATGCCTTCGCTCTAGGAGCTTTCTCCTGATGGAGGACCCCGTTGGGGCAGGACAGCTGTCCAGCATGAGCAGCCATTAAATCCCATCCCCAGTAGATGCGCACACACACACACACAGGATCCGCCATCGAAGGCAGTCGCTTCCCCATGCCTCCTGCCTGACAGGGGCTACCTTTGACGGGACCTCCCAGTGCCAACATCTTGTCCCACCTTCAGCTCCAGAGAACCCCTTGGTGGTGTGAAGGCCCTCATGCTTCACGTCATCCTTGTTCTGCAAATTATATCACCTTCTGGCAGAGGGTCCTTTTCGACTTGCCGTAGAGGGACTTTTCTGTTCTCTGGCGCACAGTGTACTACCTTCAGGCATGGCTGCGCAGAAACGGCTATGTGCTTTAGCCTTGCTAAAAGAGCACGGGAAACTAGCTGCAGCACATGAACAAACCCTGGATATTTTCCCCAAGGTATCTGAGAAGCCATTCGGCAGTTCTTCCTCTGGAGCTCCTGCGATTTCCAGACGGTCCTGTCTTTACCCAGATCGCTTCTCCTGCCCTAGGACCGCTCAGGTCTTTGGTTGAGAAATCTCTGTTCCTTTCTGGAGTTTGAGGGTTTTCTCTGTAGTGATGTTCACGTGAACAAACTCTCCCAGCAACTCCTCTGGATCCTTCTGTGATGAATTCAATAAAGGAGGAACAGAAGGAAGGAAGGAAGGAAGGAGGAAGGAAGGAAGTCTTGAGAATTCCAACAGATGGCAGTATGCCCAGGGGAAGCTGAGATAAACGGATGGATGGATGGATGAGATAGACAGAGCAAGGAACATGGCTCAGAGAAGAGCATAGAAGTCCCAAGTCCAATTCACAGTATCTTTGAATATGAGGCATGCGGCCCCTAGAGGGTGTCTCCAAACCTGGGTGCTGTGGGGGTCTGGCAACTATTCCTATGACCACTGGCAAAACTGGAGGTGGTAGAGACAGTCGGAACATTGGAAGACACCTTGTGTAGCCAGATCTTCCGTCCACCTGCTCCAGCTTTATCTGCTTGGACTTGTTCTTGACCCTGGCTCTCTGACACCCTTCTCACCAGGGGCTGAACCATCTGCACCGGTTCTTCTGCCGATCCATAGTCCCTGCTCCAACAGGAGTAGCAGAAGAACGAGTCACGAAGGGCGCCGGGCAGACCCGTGGCCCTGACGGACTGGCACTTGTCCGTCCGCAGGACCGGCTGGGGCCCACAGCTCAATGAGGAGGCCTCCCTGGGCGTGCAGCGCCTCTTCCCCGCTGCAGCCAGCTTGTCCGCCTGCCTCTTGCTCTGAGCCGGCCAGGAGGTGGGGAGAAGGTGGCTGGGTCACTGTCAGCTGGGCAAGTCACGGCAAGGGACCGGTGGGGAGGAACAAGGCCACCGTGCTGAGAAGGTGGCCCACGGGGGGCGTCTTGCCCAAGCAGCTTCTGTGGATGGAGCTCCACCTTCTGAATTTGCCTGTCGGGCTGACGAGTGATCATTTAATTTCATTTGGTTTGTAATGCTCATTTCATCTCTCATCTCATCTCATCATCTCATCTCATCTCATCTCATCTCATCTCATCTCATCTCATCTCATCTCATGTTTAAGATAATATAAAAAAGATCAAAATGTTCATCACATTCAGAAGAGGGAAAAACTGAGATTAGAAACGAACACGGGAGAAGGCAAAGCACGTTTGTCCATCCCCACAATTCCCTCTGCCTGGGAAGACTCTTACAACCCATCAAGTCCAAATTTTTTAAAACAGAATCATCTTCTTGCTGTTTCCTTGGCTTTTTCCTCTCCCCCGAACTCAAAATGCGCCCCCCCCCCCCCGCCAAAGCACTGCCAAAGAATCTGCCCTCTCCATCTCTCTGGGGATGAAATTGATACGGAGGAGACTCGCAGCTGGCCAAGCGCCCTCTCGCCTCCCGAGAGAGTCCCGTATCTGCCCCTTCCCCAGACCCCGTACCTGAGACCTTGTTCTATTTCAGAGCTAGCACAAAACAATGCCATAAGCGACGGCTCCAAAATAGCTGGAGCGCCGTCTTGCCCTTTTATAGCAACGGCCCTATTGTGGGGCAAGGTATGTGGGACTGCGGGGTGGGGACGGGACGGCACAGTGACATTCAGCGAGTGGCATCCGAGGGCCGGGAGCAGGATAAAGACCCCGGCCAGGAGGGCCCCTTCTGCTCTGCTCTGCGCTCTCTCCCCCCCTCGAGCGGCCGGCCTCTCCTCTGCCTCGGCGCGTCACGATGCCGCCCAAGAAGCCCGAGCCCAAGAAAGCAGAGCCCAAGAAAGAGGAGCCGAAGGCCGCCCCCAAGCCGGCCCCTCCGCCCCCGGAGCCAGAGCCCCCGAAGGAGGTCGAGTTCAACCCAGCCAACATCAAAGTAAGCCTCGTCCGGAGCATCCTGAGGGACCAGATGGGCATTATGGGTGTGGGGGGGGGGGCTGGAGGAGCGGGGTGCCCCCGCAATGAGCGACGTGTGTGTGTGCGCACACGCACACACGTCCAGGCTCGTGCTTGGGGAGGGGAGAATCCCTTGGGCAACCCAGGTCCGTGGGGTCCCCTTCCCCTCTCGGAAGGCTCCGATGCCAAAGAGGCTTTGGGCTAGCCCTGTGGCCACTGTGCTGGCCCTCGGCTCTCGGGGCTGGTGGGGCTGGCTGGCCCGCCGGCACCATGGAAGCAGGGCTAGCTGCCAGGTTGGTTGTCCTTTGTCCAAGGATGGGGAAGCGACATGTCCCTCACCTTGAGCGGCAGAGATCCCGGCCAGCCCACCAGAGAATCGCACTGGAAGGGATACGGATGAGCTGGGATTTCTGGGACTCCAGCCTGGGAATTCCACAGTGGACTGGCTTTTTTGAGTCATGGAGAATTCGGGCTTGGAGACCAATTTCTCATTGTGTGTGTGTGTGGGATTTGCTGTAATGCATATTAGCACTAATGTACATTAGCATGAATATACATGAACAAATAACTTACATAAATGACCAAATATGCCTACATATTTTAGCTTACATAAATGACCAAACTTGCATTAACAAATGCATATTCGGTCATTTATGAAATGCATATTGATTCATGTGCTCATTTATGCTAATGCAAGTACTGCAAATTAGTCAAAGTGGGATGAAATCCTGCTTAAAAATATATCTCGATGAGTGGAGGATGGAATGAGAGATACCTAAGAATCTGGGAAATGCAGACAAAGTGGATGAAACAAAATCTTTACAAGGAAGCAGGATTCCTTGCATGTACAGACTCCCCGTGTGATGCTCATCTGGAACAAGGAAGTCTAAGGCATGGTTAATGCAGCCAGAGCATGGACAGAGAAGGAGAACAGAACAGGGCAACATGTGGATCTCCAGATGTTTTGGCCTACGTCTTTCATCATCCTTCGTTTGTGCTGAAGGGAACTGTAGGTCAAACCATATGGGGAGCTACCAAGCGCTGTCCAGCTGAGTCTCTTCAGCCTGGAGAAGAGGAGACTCAGAGGGGATCTGTTGGAGACATACAGGTATGAGAGGGGGTGTCACATGGAGATGGGTAGAGACCTGTTCTCCCCTGCAGAGGAAGGCCGGATGGGCTCCGATGGAGCAAAGCTCAGGGAACCGAGGTTCAATTTGGATGCCAGGAAGCACTTCCTGACAGTTAGGACCCCCAGGGTATGGAATGGGCTTCTCCAGGAGGTCATTGAGGCCCCATCGGTGAGGGTGTTCAAGGACAGGCTGGGTGTGCATATGGTGGGCATGTCGTGAGCGGAGCCGGCTGGTGCCGGAGGTCAGACTAGATGGCCCGGGAGACCCCTTCCGACTCGCTCTGTTTCTCTGTTTCTGTGTCCACCGTCCACCTGTTACAGCTCGGTTTACTTTGTTGTCTAGAACTGGGTCCTTCTCCTGCTTAGACAATTGTCCCCGAGGAGAAGCTTTCTCCTGAGGAGACTGGATCTGAATCAAGGGTCTGCAGTAGCCAGCCAGGTGTTTTGAGGATTACTTGTAGCATCTTACCTGATCCATTACTGGCCCTGCTCCAGAGGATTCTGGGAGCAAGAAGCGAGGCAGGAGCAGAGCAAAGCTAGGCCCAAAAGGTTTGGGGGCCTCAGGTGAGACATCCCCACAACAGGCTTCTCCCAGTTGCCCCATGTCTTCTCTGGGAATGTGGAGTATTGAAGGGCCCATAACTTCCCCAGAGGTTTTCCCCAGGCTTGGAAAATGGGGATTTTAAATCATGCAGGCACCTGTGTAAGAAGGATGCTCACTTCAGAAATTACCTGCCTAACCTGTGGAGCTGATGTCCTCACTCTTGCTCCTGCCACGTTCATGCTGGTTTCATTCTGCAAACAGAACCAGAACACAACTTATCTAGACTCAGGAAATAGGAAATGCAGCTCTTTTGAATCTGGATTCAGCAAAGACTGGGTACCACCTGATTATTCCTTCCAGCAAAATGTCATTTCTTCCTAAATGCAAATTCTTTCTCCTTCTAACCAAGTTTTCCCTGCAAATACCGATGAGGAGGCAGATTGTGCGACTCGGTGGGAACTGGGGGTATCCACTGACGACGAGATTTGACTCAGATGACAATGTCGCACTTTTGAAAACTCGGCTCAGTTCAGCCTAATTCAGACGTGGCCTGCCTCTGTTTGGGCACTAATGTCAACTCAATGTTCGGAAATTTGAGACGTTATTTTCATGGAATTTTTTTAAAATGATGCCTACAATTCAGCTTTGCAAGCATGGGAACCCCTTAGGAAGGGACTCTAATCTGCCACGTTTGGGATTAATAGGTGCGGGGCAGGCGTGTGTTACACATTTCTTACGCGCATTTGTGCTATGCACCCTTGAAGAAAGGGACTGCTGATAACTTTTGAAATAACATTTTTGGGCAGAGTTGGATGAGACCTGCGGAGAGTTGCCTTTTTTGAGGGGATCAAATTTCTGCAGGGATTTTAAAAAATTATTTTTTTATTTTCTTGGGAACAAAACAGAGCAAGCTAAAATAGACTAAATTGCCAAGGGAAAGCGACACAGATCCAACCAATTCAAATAGCCCGCAAATCTACCCGTCTTTCAACACTCCATGGAAGAAATTTCTGCAAGGATTTTTGTCCCACTGGGGTCTTTTAGTGCGAGAAAAGCAGAAAGGATATCCAGAAAGGGGCACCGTTATCCTCCTAGGTAAGGCTTTTCAGGTCCAAAGTAGTACCTTGACTTGGATTCAGAATGGTATTTATTTATTTATTTATTGAAACATTTTTATGCCGCCCCATTCGCTGGAGCCTCGGGGCGGCTTAAAACATTAAGTTAAAAAAATACAAACATTAAATTACACCATTAAATTAAAATGTTTGTAAAATACAAACATTAAGTTAAACTGGAAAAAATATCAATATAAAATAAGTTGCCCTGGTCCGCCAGTGCAAGGTGAGCCAACGCTGGGCTTGTGGGCTGAAACTATCTGGTTCCAAGTACTTAGAGCATAACATAAGGGCGTAAGAGAAGTCCTGCTGGGTTGGACCAGGGTCCATCCAGTCCAGCACCCCGTACTCGCGGCGGCAAACCAGCTGCCCCAGGACCCCTCCAGCAGGATGGGTGCAGGACCTCCTCCTGCCCAAGCTGCTCAGCAACTGGGCCGCTTTGCTGAAGGAGGCAGCCCATGGCCCGCAAGGCTAGTAGCCCCAGGTAGCCCCCTCCTCACAGACCCGTCCAAGCCCCTTTTAAAGCCATCCAGATCGGGGGCCATCACCAGCCCCCGTGGCAGCGAATTCCACAGCCTAGCTATAAACTGCACAAATACACCCTTCCTTTTATGCCTCCTCGCCGACTTTGCTGCTGCGGAACAACCTTCAAGGGCAGCCCCACACACGGCCCGTTGCGGTAGTGTAACCGAGAGGTCACCAGATGCACAAGGCAAGGCTTGGTGTCCCAGGCAGCCCCTGAGTTCACTAGCAGGACACGTGGCACATGGTCTGCGCGTTCACATAGCAATGAAGGATGAACCCGTCCTGCTCGGCATCAGAGGTGTGCAGACTTTCCCAAACTGGGTGCTGGATCCTGTTCCAGGGAGGCATCCAAGGACGGCAGACCATCTTTGGGCAGGACAGGCGGGAAAGGGGCAGGGGCAACGACACCCCAAGAGCCAGCCCTTTTTGACTTTAATCTGGGCAGGATTTGGCCTTGGGGCCCAAGGCTTGGTGTCCTCGGCTCAGCAGCGTTTTGACAATGACTCTTAAAAGTTCTCTGTATCAGCCATTGGTCCGCTACAGATACCGCTGTGTGGGCCTAGGTTTGTGACGCTTTGCCTGGCTTTTCAAAAAGCTCTGGGGGAGACATAATTGGGTTAAAATGTGGCTCTTGGAATATCTCCCCATCATATATTTCCGGAAAAGCCTTTGGCTTTTATCCTTAGCAGTCGGGAGACTAGAAGCAGAAAGATTTATGGATTCTGGTCCCATCCTGACCCAATGGATCACTTTCACCCTTTTGAAAGTGAAACCCAAAATTTAGTTAGGTCTTCCATAAACCTAACTAGAAATCTAAATTTAGTTATGTGTTGGAAACTGCACTTCTCCAAATTCTGTAATCAAGTTTTCCAGTTAAAACAGTTCATGCGAAAGTTTCTATTTTCGAGTGGGTGGAAGACTGAAACTTATGTTCTGTTAGAAAAACTGCTTGCAAAAACAGAAAAAAGGGTTAGCCAACCTAAAGCAATACATGAGGAGAAATTTTGCATGCTCTCACACACATTTTCATGTGATTTCTCTTTTTAACCAGTCCTTAGAGTTTAAGCCAAACCAAATTTATGACTGGGAAAATTCTCCAAGTTCAGGATGAAGCAAATTTAAGATTGGAAAAAAAAAAAAAAAAAGATAAACTAATGAAACCCATAATTGACAGGTTCATACACCCCTCTGATTTGTTCGGGAATCCATTTTGCTTTACTTGGCCTCTTTCCACTGTCCTAGTGATCAAATCATGCAAACTGGTTGGAACGGTTTCTTGCTTCTCCACATCTCAACAACTCAACAGAGAGGGATTACTGGTAAAACAGTCTTGCAGAAGGCACAGAACCTTGTGGTCTCCTCTGCATTTTTTCCCTACAGTAAAAAGATGGTCTATGTTCTGTGTCCCCAAATTCAGTGACCAAGAAAATATTAAAGATGAAAATTTGCTGCCCACAGTGACAGTGACTGGCTTGTTGAGATTGCAAGCCATTGCAGACTTTGGAAAAAACAGTTCTGTTTATTTGCCAACCTCATGAAGGGGCCTTTGAGAAATATTGCATTATCTAATCCAGCACTCCACATTTTCTTGAGCAATTTAATTTGCTCAGGTACATAGCTATTACCTATGACTTTTGCTTCTGAGCACTTTAAAGGAGGGACCCATG